CCTCCTCCAGTCATGTTAGCTCAGGAATTCTGGGAGTTGGGAAGTCCGCCAGTCTTAAACTTGCTAAGTTTGAAGACCCTTGTGATAGATGATAGATAGATAAGAGAGAGACAGAGAGAGTTGATAGGTGATAAGTGATAGATCAGGGGTCTTCCAACTTGACAGCTTTAAGACTGGTGGACTACAACTCCCAGAATTCCTCCTCCAGTCATGTTAGCTCAGGAATTCTGGGAGTTGGGAAGTCCACCAGTCTTAAAACTTGCCAAGTTTGAAGATCCCATCGTCTTGACACTAGGCTAAGATGCTTCCATTTAATTCGGCTTGTTAGTCTACACAACGTCTTGACCTGCCCTCAAAATTGACGATCGCTTGTCCAGCGTTCCTGTTTTGTTTTGCTTTTTGGCTCTTAGCGTATCCGGTTTTAAGAGGCTTCCAAGTCTCACGGCTCTTGTATTTGAGTTAAAATAATCTTCTCTGGCATTGTATGTCATCTTGTCATCTGATTGGATGCGAGGTAGAATAGACATATTTCCAGTAAGAGCGTTTCTGAGCTAAAGGGAAACAGAGGTTTTAAGGGTAGCATTTCAGCTTGGTTGCCACACCAGTAGAAACATATTTGCAAGCAAATAAACAAACGTGAATTGGGTGAACATGAATTGATTTTGTTTTGGCATTGAAAAAGAACAAAGTTAAGCAAGCTCGTGTTTTGGAAGGCAGAGAGGAAACTGTGGTAACCCAAACAAACCAGCCACTCATACATAGATATGTTATTGCATAGCCTCATTTTTCTTGCAATTAAAAGAGTTTTGAAAATTTTTCTTATATTGACATAGAACAGTTATAGATTGTTGTGTTTTATAGAGGGCTTTTTTTTCAGAATGTAAACAAGCATAAAAAAACAACTCAGTCTCAACAATGTACCAGCTTGTTGTATTATATTACTGCAACATTCTGGAATAAACAATAAACACTGGGTCTTAGAATATGGTGAATTCAATTTGTGGAATGGAACAGTTTGCGATGTCATTTCTGCACAGAAGTCAAATAATGTACTTAGTGGTAATATACATACATACATACCTATAAAAACAGGTTATTCACCTCTCCCTACCCATTGAACATTTTCTTCTAAAAATCATACTCTGCAAGAAAAGAAAATTTTGTTTTGAACTCATGTGGAATCAAAACAATGGGAAATTTATGTTATTCCACCATTAACTAGAATAATAAATACAAACCACCAGCCTTTTGGTATAATGTGCCTTTTAAACCCATCTGTTGTGGGATCTGTTCCCAAACGCCATCTGGTTCTTTGCCAAGAGGCAGAAGCGATCAAAGAGAGAGGTGTGTTTTTCTCTCTTGTTAGAACGACAGTTTCCCCTGTGGGTTTGTGCACTTTGTCTTGAGCTGAGAACTTCGTGTCCAGAGAAGATCACTCTAGCAGAAAGAAACTGCAGTTATTGCTAGTGTTTGTGTCGTGCACTTCTGCTGAAAGGTTAGGAATAGATATTGATAGCCACTAGATCCGACTGCCCTTCCTAGAGATGGATGCTTGAGTAGCCAGCTTCCTTGTCTAAGGCTGGCAAGGAAATTACAGACCGAAATAACATCCTCCAGCTTTGGAAAAGTTTAGAGTGGACTTGATAGACAGAGCTCCTTTGGCATTTCCTCAGGAGACATCTTTAAAAACCCCGTGCAGAGAAGGGGCCATTGAATCGATGGCCATTCATATTTTGTTGTGTAGGGTTGCTTCTGTCTGACCCGTAGAATTGCGCATCTTTTAAACGTGGCACATTTTTGCTTTATTGTTTGTGGAACTTGCCCCATGATTCAGACATGCTGACTGTATGGCTTACCTACTTTTATTTGCATTGACGTTCATTCGATTTGTGGGATTCATTCACTGAGGTTTTGTCATGAAACTGACCGGGTTTTTTTTTCGTTGCTGCTTTTTATTAAGATATGGCAGAAACTCTTTTAAAGGGTCAATGGCCGTTGCACGTGCAAAAGGTAAAAAGGGACACATTATTTCTGCTAAGAATGAACAATCTAGCAATCTCCTGCCCGCCACTAAATGTTTTCCAAAGATTCCCTGTGAAATTACTTTGGGTTTTCCACCAGGTAGTCTGCGAAATCTTTAAGGAATGAAATGACCATTCAGCTGTGCTTGTCTCGACAACATCGGCTTCAAGTCCCCAATAATGCTAGCTTACGAGTAATGTGGTGTTAGTATGGTGGTGTCTGAAGGAATTATCTGCTCCCCAGCAAAGCAGGATAATTGAATTCACTGCATGGTGGACACCAAAGGTTCAGAACCCTTTGCTCGCCATGGGTTCAACTATGCGCTGGACTTTTCAACCATCCAAAATGTAGGAAGATTGCGGCAAGAGCCTCGTTTTTGAACCGTCTACACGTCAGTTAATTCGGTGTGGTTAAAATGCAGCGACTGAGCCCACTCAGAAATACGAGTGGCAATTTATGGGCTGCTGCCAAGGCTTTGGAGAGGTTCTGTGCCTTTGGTGTAAATGTTCTGTGATGCTCCGTGTCCCGGCAAGAAAATACTGTTATGGCGGTTTCGTTGCTTTTGTGTTTAAATAGGCCTGTCTTTTGTATGTTACACAGCTATGACGACTTCATGGGTTCCGCCAAAAATGTGATAAGCGAATCTGTTGATGCAGAAGAGAAATATAACATGATGGTAAGTCCTCCCTCCTGACAGTCTGTCATCTTCTTAATGTTTTGGTCGTTGGGTGATATGTAAAGTCTTCACTCCCGCTGTGACCATAGACAGGGAGTCCTTGAGTTACGCTGTTTGTTTAGCAGCTGTTCAAAGTTAACAACTAAAAAGTGACTTGTGTCTGACCCTCTGTGATGACCCAGGGTATGGCACAAAAGTAGGTAAAGTCCCTTTAATTCCTCCAACTTGGCCTCCAATGTCCACTTATCATCGGCTGGAAAAGAAACTCTCCCAAGAACAGTTTTTAAAGGGAAGAAATTTAGTCCGAACCAAAAGTACATATAAATATAAATAAAAACTCAAAAGATAATGACACACACACACAGTTGGGAGGACGCCAGAACCCAGATAGGACTTGACAAACAAAGATAATGCATGCTTTGCTTCCAGCAAGGTTCTGTGCGCAAACACCCTTTATATCCTGCTTCCCCAGCTGCAGCTAATGAAGGGAATCAGGGCCTTTTTCTCCCCTGTAGCCCACGTTGCTCCCTTCTCCTTTCCTCCCTGCGTGCCCTAGGATGAAGAGGGGGTGGGCCTGGGTCTTCCTCTGAATGCCCAGCCAGACTGTGCCCTTCCCCAGTTTCCTCCACAGCTGCGCAATCTCCCCCTCGGAATCAGATTCCAACAGGGGCATGACACCCTCGCAGTTTTGACCGTTGTAACAGCCCCACAGTTAGGCGATCAAACTTCGAGCGCTTGGCAACCGGCATGCATTTATGACGGATACAACGTCCCCAGAGTCACTATTTGAGACATTCCCAGCCAGCTTCTGACAAAGTCAGCGGGGAAAGCCGGATTTGCTTAAGACGCACACAAATCACCAAACAACCGCGGTGATTTTGTTAACAACCATGGCAAAAATGGTCATAAAATCAGGCGCAATTTGTTTAACAGCCCCCTTACTTAGCAACAGAAATTCTAATTCCCCATTGTGGTTATAACTCGGGGACTACCTGTAATGAAGAATTTGAAGAATTTGGTCCAGTGCAGTTATGATAGCTGAAATAGTTAACATTTGCAAGGGATGTGCAAATATCAATCAATCCATTATCAGTCAGTGCACATTTTTAAAAGGTCTCTCTCTCTCTCTCTCTCTCTCTCTCTCTCTCTCTCTCTCTCTCTTTCTTTCTTTCTTTCTTTCTTTCTTTCTCTCTTTCTTTTTTTTTTGGTTTAACTGCTCCACTCTTGGTTTCCCCAAATTCTTTCAAAAGGATCCAGTTTCCTACAGATGGAGAAAACTAGGAAATCACAGTAAAGCTATTTTTCTTTATGCTTTTAACTAGAGCTGGCTCCCCATTGCAATGGTATACAGTGAATTAACTTAAGAGATGAGCCCAGAGTCTAGACCATTTCCCTGATGCCAAATAAGCATGAAAATGCGGAATGGGAAATTTGGAAATAGCATTTCCTCAGAAAAACTGACATTTGATGGAAATGCCCTGAGGGTCACCTCTTTAAATAGTTGTGTTTTTTTTTCCGTCATCATGAAGAGCCACATGAATTATTGCCTCTGATAACTGGGCTTTTAAGTTTTAACTTTTTCCCCTCTGACACTACAAACACATCCCCCTTTAGGTATCTGAAAATTGTCATCTATGAAAGGAGAGGATCTGTTCTGGATTTGCCCTGGTTAAAAAAGAAAAAAAAATGGTGGTCTGCCGCAAGGGTTTTAATGCGTCTTTCAGAATCTGGCGCACCACTTTGCCAAAGTTTTACAAACCACAGGACCTTGCACTGTTTACATTTGCCCTGTTTTTTTTCCTCCCTGAAATCTTTTAAAAAGACCAGCTGTCTTGTAGATCTGGGTCATTTCGCCCTAATGATGGGGAAACTGAGGCTTTTAGCCCTGAAGCCCTTCGACTTGAGGTTCACCAGCCAACAAGGAGTTGGTGGGGCTGTCCTAAGGAAGAGAGGGTCAGCCTCTTCTCCAGAGCCCCAGAAAGCAGGACAGGAAGCAACGGATGGAGGCTAACTCAGGAGAGAAGCAACCTGGAATTCAGGAGAAACTTCCTAACAGTGAAGACAATTAACCACTGGAACAGCTTGCCACCAGAAGTCGTGGGTGCTCCAACAATGGAGGTTTTTAAGAAGAGACTGACAACCTCTGAAATGGTATAGGGTTAGGGTTAGCAGGGGGTTGGACTAAATGACCTCCAAGGTCCCTTCCAGCTCTATTCTGATCGATTGATTGAAATCCTGAAAGTTGGACAGTTCCTTCCCTCCCTCCTTCCTTCCTTCCTTCTCTTTCCTTCCTTCTTCCTCCTTCTCCGGAGATTGGACAACCATTTGTCTGAAAAGGGTATAGGGTTTCCTGCTTGAGTAAGGGGTTGGACTAGAAGACCTCCAAGGTCCCTTCCAACTCTGTTATTTGGTATTTTGTAAGGAAAGCCTGACCACCATTGGTTGAAAAACTGAAAATGACTGGGTACTCCGTCAAAGATGCTTTCTCTTTTGGGTGAGAGTGAATTATTCCCAAGTTTGTCACGTGCTGCCTCCGGTCACACCGAGAGGGGATGTAAGTTCTCTGCTCTTGTGATCCTAGGACATCATGAACTGGTTGTAGCTCTGTTTGAGCGCAAAGTCGGAGTATCCTTTTCAGGGATTGGTCTCAGGTTTCTGTTCCCGGACTCCTTTTTGGGGTCCCTAGGCCTCTGAGACAGAAGTGGCCCAACCCTTTAATTCAGCAGTGGGAAACTGTGGCCAGTTTACGACCTGTGGACTTCAACTCTCAGAAATGATGAAGGTTGGCGTTTATCTGAAACCTCTGTTCCCTTCCGCAGGCTTCTTTCCAACGCTCCAACAGTCACGACAAAGTCAGGAAAATTGTAGCCGAGGAGGGTCGCACTGCAAGAAACCTGATTGCTTGGAGCGTGCCCTTGGAGAACAAGGAAGAGGAAGGTACGTGCTTGACCTTGTACCAGATCAGCATTTTTCCAACTTGGCAGCCATGGCTGACAAGGGAATTCTGGGAGTTTGAAGTCCACCCATCTTAAAAGTGCCAAGTTTGAAAAAAAGGCTCAGTGGTGTTATTGAGCCTCAGTGGCACAGTGGTTAGAGTGTGAGCAATACTGCAAGCTACTTCTGCTGCAGCTACCTGCCTGCAATTTGGCAGATCGAATCTCATCAGGCTCAAGGTTGACTTGGCCTTCCATCCTTCCAAGGTCGGTAAAATGAGGACCCAAATTGTTGGGGGACAATAGGCTGACTATAAACCTCTTAGAGAGGGCTATGAAGCACTGTAAAGCGGTATATAAGTCTAAGTGCTATTGCTACCTTCCTTCCTTCCTTCTTTCCATCCATCCATCCATCCATCCTTCTGAGGTGGGTAAAATGAAGACCCAAATTGTTGGGGGACAATAGGCTGACTATAAACCACTTAGAGAGGGCTATGAAGCACTGTAAAGCGGTATATAAGTCTAAGTGCTATTGCTATCTTCCTTCCTTCCTTCCTTCCTTCCTTCCTTCCTTCCTTCCATCCATCCATCCATCCATCCATCCATCCATCCTTCTGAGGTGGGTAAAACGAGGACCCAAATTGTTGGGGGCAATATGCTGACTCTGTAAACCGCTTAGGGCTGTAAAGCACCATAAAGCGATATATAAGTCTAAGTGCTCTTGCTATTGTTTTGGTTTGGTGCAGGGTAATCTGGAGTTCTAAGCTGTGATGGAATGGCTTCTGTGTCATGTATGTCAGGCCATCGTGGCCTGTTCCACAAGTCACAGTTAAAAGAAAAGAAAGCACAACACTTGGGAGCTCTGGAAACAGCCTGGCAGAGATAAAGGCACTAATCTCCACTCCCGGGTCCTTAAAGAAATCGAATTCTTTCTACTAACAGAAGTTCGTCTTTTTACAGGAAAACCAAAGTGGCAGGTAGGGGCCAAATCGAAGAGGATAAACCAAGGAACACACAAAATTAGCAAACAGGTATGTGCTGTTTTATTTCGTTTAACGCTCAAGCATCTGAAGCAACACTTAATTTCTGGAAAGCTGCAGACAGTCAAATAAATCCATTTAGTCACATTTCACTTCTTTTAATCCAACCACTAACGTGTTAACATTGCCCTTGCAGATAACCGGTGTGTGTGTGTGGCGGGGTGGATTTTAAATAATCAGCCAAAAAGAAAGAAAGGGGGGGGGGGGAAATCCTTCAAAAGTACATCTACATGTGCTGAGCGTAGTTTTACACTCTCTGGGGAAGAGGGAGCCAGTAATACTAGCATTTTGAATTACCCCGGGAGTGAAAACGGCCTCTGCGACACCAACGCCCAACTGTTCAGCGTCAATAATTGGACCGTATTAATTACAAAACAAAAGGGCCCCACAGTAAAATGTGCACCAAATACCCTTAATGGAAACTGAACACCCATCCTCCTGAGTCCAGCTGGTCTTGTAACAGCAGGCCTGGCCAGCTGACAGGAGATTAATTTCCATAAGACCATGCAGGGAGCCAGCACTTAAATAATCTGAAATAAGTTTTTCAACGACCCATTTGAAAGCCATTTGGCAAAACAAACCTCTCTCCACTCAAGCAAAAATAAACCCCGGTGTGCTTAAACATAGAACTGGGATCGCGCGTTGTGATGCTTTGATTATGGCCTGTGGATTAATTCAGGGGCGTCCAACCTTGGCAACTTTTAAGGCTTGTGGACTTCAACTCCCAGAATTCCTTCAGCTGGGGAATTCTGGGACTTCAAGTCCACAAGTTGCCCAAGCTGAATTAAGCCGAGGAAGCTGGATTCATATGTTGTGCTAAACCATGATGGGATTTGTTTAATAGGATCGGGGTTAGTCTCTGCTTGCAGTGATGACAAAGCTCTGAAGCCGATCGTTTTGCACGAAACTCCACCCTAGGCGATTTCGTTTGATGGAAATCAGCGTTTCTCAAACGGGGCCACTTCAGAGGTCGTGCGGACTTCAACTCTCACGCTTGGGGAATTCCGAGAGTTAAAAGTCCATGCATCTTAAAGTGGCCAGCTTTGAAAAATACCAATCTATTCCAAGCCCGAGGAAGTGAAATCCACAAGTCTTTAAAAGTTGCCACATTTGAGAAACCCCCCAAAAAGGTGAACCATGATCCTTCTCAAATCATGATTTAATAGCTTGATCTCCTGGGCAAATCTGAACAATTGAGATTTACTTTTAAAAAAAAAGAGAGAGATGAAACTTTGTTTAGTGCACGTGTGTGTCAGAGGTGGCATTCAGCAGGTTCTGACCAGTTCTGGAGAACCAGTAGTGGAAATTTTGAGTAGTTTGGAGAACTGGCCAATACCGCCTCTGATTGGCCCTTCCCCCATCTATTCTCTGCCTCCTGAGTCCCAGCTGATCGGCTGGGTCTTTGGTTTCCCTGCCCAGGAGAACGGAGCTGGAAAGCAGGTTGGTGGGGTGGGGAGGGAACGGGGATTTTGCAGTAACCTTCCTCCAGAATTGGGGAGGAAATGGAAGATTTTACAATATCCTTTCCCTGCCACGTCCACCAAGCCATGCCTGCAGAACTGGTAGTAAAAAAAATTGGAATCCCACCACCGTAATGCTTTTCAAATCTCCTTTGCAGAGCACGGCGTCCGATTGCAAAATCGCACCAGCCACCGGGGAGAAGACCTACTATAAAAGCCCCACCAAGACCAGGCAGCCACGGAAAGTGGACCTCCGGGCGCGATACTGGGCGTTCCTTTTCGACAACCTCAGGCGGGCGGTGGATGAAATCTACGTCACTTGTGAATCGGACCAGAGTGTGGTGGAATGCAAAGTAAGGCTTCTCCTGATTGGGCCATTGAGTTAAAAGTAAGACACTTAAAGTAAAAATAAATAAATGGTAATTTAGCTGCTCCGTACTTCATCAAACAGATTGATACGGTCCTTGTTTAGCTACAAATCTTCTCTCCTCTTCGTTCTAAAATGTGCATGCCTGGTTTTTCTGTGTCTTTGGGAGATGTTAACGTGGGTCTTCCTGGATTTGCCACCCCGTGGCTTTCCTCCTCCAATATCCCATTTTTCCTGTAGGGGGCACTGTTGAGATTCTGCTGGGGACCCCCATCCTCTCCGGGCTTCCTGCTCAATCTCTCTAATTCCCTCCGCATTGTTCCTTGTCTGCAAGAGATAGTTATCGTTCTTCCCGGTGGTGAGCGAGGGAGTTTGATTGATGGCCTGGTATAAACAACGTCTGGGTGGGTCTCGGCGTAAGTTCGTTCTCTTCATCTGACTTTTGATGGGAAACAGACATCGGCCCCCGGTAGCCCGGCTGCCTCCCAGCTCAACTGGAAGCTGTTCTGGCTTCTGGGTAACAAGAGATTGATTCTTTCAGGTGGCGCGAAGAGGAAGGGAAACACTGCAAACCGTTAAAGAAGACTGGGGAAAGTCGGGAGGGCAGGCGGTCCTTGACTTACGACCAGATTTGAGCCCAGTGTTTCTGTCGCTAAGTGGGAAACTGGTTAAGTGAGTTTTTCCCCACTTTTACAACCTTTCTTGGCACGTTTGTTGAGTGAATCACTGCCGTTCTTAAGTGAAGAACAAGTTTGT